GGTGTGGGTGAGTGATAGTTTACTTTGATTTTGGTTAAGGTAGATTATCATTTACAGTGTAATCAGTGAGGGGATTCTGCAGACTGCTGAGGGTTCAGCCTCCTGATGAGTCGGTGAAACTCCGACGAAACAGTTTGTCACAGCCCCTCGTTCATTGTCCTCTTCTCTCTCTCTGCCTACGGTTTACCGGGCAGTTCTGTTTGTGACGATATATATATTTATATATATTCATCAACTTTCATTTCATGGCATTTTGAAGTGTTTTATAATTTTTTAAGAATTTTGTTTTTTCTAAAATAATCCCCCGAAATACTAGGCTACCAGTCAGGCCACCCGCGTCTCAGGTGGCCAGCCCGTGCAAGGACAAGGGAAGCTCCCATCAAAAAAAAAAAGAAAAAGAAAAAATTGAAAAAAAACACTACGTTATGCATGAAAATAAACTGAACAACTTTTGCCTCAGGGTCACATTGAAATTCCTTACCAAATTGATAATATAAAATTAAACTTTAAAATAGTTTATTTACTTTTCAGTTTTTAATTTTGTTTGGCCCGGCCAGGCAAGTGACCCCGGGCCACTCTGGTGGCCTAGCCGAAATATGAAAAAACTATGGTGTATAAAATTGCAATACAAACAACTTTTGCCTAAGGGTCTGGTATGTACAAATGAAGCAGGTGTGACATCATGTTCTGCCGCACCATGTGTGACAGCTTCGATATCAACAGCTGGCAACAACAAACCTGAGGCCCTGTGGCCCTTGCTAACTTGCATTCGGGAGAATGATATGCAATTCTGTCCCATGTTCCCAAGCTCGGAAGCTTACAGACCGTGATGGTCCTGTACCGCATTGCAGTCCATGAGTTTTGAATGTGATGTGCAGTTTTGTGCCATGATCTTGAACTGGGTAGCTTCGTACCCCGCTGGTGCTTTGGAGCACTGCAGGCTTCGTGTCTAATCCTAACATAACACTGAAAAGGCGAGTACTTGAGACCTTTTTCTTCGTCACCTGCGGGCGGGCCTCTGAACGCGCATGAATTTAGCCGGGCACTGGCAGGCCCGCACATTGCTGAAAGGCCGGTGCATTGACAAAGGCACCATGCTTCACTAGTGGTCGATTAACTGCCAAGCTTAGACCCAAATATCGCGGGATCAACAGGAGTTGAACTGTTCACCTGAGGGTCAACAGTTCCAGTCGGATACTACTTCTTGGTCATCACACTGGTGCACAAAAGACATGAAACAAGAATGGACATGAATGCTAATTTCAGTGTAATGACGTACTCTCATAAGAACACCCTAAGCTCCTTTTCTTGTCTTTTTTCTTTTGCCAGGAGTAAACATTAGGGCCTTGCTCCAATCGTGAAAAGTGGGGACTGTATCTGTCCAGTTTTACTGACGGTTACACTGGTCACTTTTCACATTTCTGACTCCGGTAGTGGAGCAAGGCCCTTACTCATTTTGATCAAACGCAATCTAGCCACCAATTACCCCCACCCCCACCCACAGCACTCTCTCTCTCTCTCTCTCTCTCTCTCTCTCTCTCTCTCTCTCTCTCTCTCTCTCTCTCTCTCTCTCTCTTGCCTTCGCCTCCCTGCCCCTCCCCCCAGGTATTGAAAATGGGCAAAGGTAGACAAGGGGATGGAGGCAGTGCAGCACTCAGCCCTCCCCATCACAACAGCCGCTGACCTCTGTCTGTGCAGGCAGGTGAGGGCGTCTCTGATGTGAGCCTGCGTTTCCCTCAGAAACATACATACAGTCGAGTGAGTCGTGCAAATGCATGCATGCATGAAAGAAAGCACCGCAGTGACACCCTCCATCAACAACCGCTGTCTACCAATTGCGCCTCTTGAGCACTCCTCTTGCTGAGTTCCTAACCACAACTGCGACGGCAAATCACAGCACAGTCACTTGGTCTTTTCGTAACAGTAGAATTGCAATTGGGCAGTGGCCTAACTCAGTTGGTCGAGCACGTAAGTGGTACACAGGAGGTCGTGGGTTCAATTCTGCACGACATCCATTCGATCCCCCATGACCCGCTGTGTGGCATACTTCGGGTTCACCGGCTGAGAACGTCGGCTTGTCCCTCCTGGCTGGTTGTGGAAGTTCTCTCTGGCTTTCCAGCCGGCGCCAGGTGTTTGGAGCTTGGGTGCTGCTCCTCCGCGCAGAGCAGAATGAGGTAGGCATGGACCCATAACCTTAGGAAAGTTTGACCCTAGCTCGCACATCTAAGGCCTACAGTTGACCCCTCCCTCCGCAGTTTGTAGAATTAGGGGACCCATAACTTTAGGAAAGTTCGACCCTAGCTTGCACATCTAAGGCCTATAGTTGACCCCTCCTTCCGTGGTTTGTAGAATTAGGGGACCCATAACCTTAGGAAAGTTTGACCCTAGCTCGCACATCTAAGGCCTATAGTTGACCCCTCCTCCCGTAGTTTGTAGAATTAGGGGTTTGGACCTTCTAGTTGGTATCAGGTTCCGAGCGGTTGCCTGCCTTGAGGATAAATTAAGTTGCCCAAGATAGGTAGTGCGAGGTACAATGATGAGAGAAGATAATAGTATAGAAAAAATGCGACTGTCCCCCATATGAGGAGACGACAAGCCTGCATTTTTATACATCATATTCCGAAAAAAAAAAAGAAAAAAAAAGAAACTGCCGACTTCACCAGCACAAAACGCCCAGTCATTATCGCTGATCTAGACTTACAGTTGTCCCGAACAATCAGGTACAATGATTGGGCGCTCTACACAGGTGAACACAGTAGCCGCAGTGAAGAAGCCGTTTACCCCTAAGTAACAATCGAATATCATATCTACCTCCTAAGTTCCTTGCCCCTTCCATGGACTCGACGTGTGTACGGGACGAGTGGCCATAAGCTGAATTTGAAAAAAGGAGCGGTTTCAGATGACCAAACAGCGCACTCAGAGTCTGCAGACGCGTTTCCTCCGTGGTGGTTGTATTTATACTATTTATAGCGCTGCTAACTGCAACCAACTCTCACTCTCAACCTCACAGTAGCCTCCCCAGAATGAAGAAGTCATTTACTGCAACAATCAGATAACATATCTACCTCCTAAGCTCCTTACCCCTTCCATGGATGGACTCGACGTGCGTAGGGGATGAGTGCCACATAAGCTGAATTTGAAAAAAGAAGAGCTTTAAGATTACCAAACAGCACACTCAGAGTGTGCACACTTGTTTCCTCCATGGGGGTGGTATTTAAAGCGCTGCTAATTCCAACCAACTCTCTCTCTCTCTCTCTCACACACACACACACACACACACACACACACTCTCAACCTCTGTGTCTCCTACTCACTTCACTGATGGAATCCTATAACCCAGACATGGGACTTCATGCCAAAAACGGAAAAGCAGGTTTACAGATTGGGGAAGAAGGAAGCTCCAGTGGATCCATCCCATGTCCTCTCCAGGGCTGCCTCCTTGGCTGTGTCCTTCTCACTAGCACCTGCAACCAAAGAGACACACGCAAATGATGATCGTAAGAATGAGGGCATACTCACACCAAGGACTTTTTCAGCTTGAACCTGGCCCTATTTCTAGTCATCTACAGCTGGTAAAGTGCTAGTGTAGGTTTGACGTGCGACAACAACAGATGCATACAGAACATTCACCAGAGATCGCATGGAGTCCAACGAAACAGTCTGTCACATTCCCTCTTTCTTTCAAACGAAAATAAAATCTCATCCCTGGGCTCCTCTCCTCGCCTCCCCCCCTCTCTCTCCCCCCCCCCCCAACCGCGCCGCCTTTCCCCCTGGTACCATTGGAAGAAAACAAGGTGATCATCCTTTCTTCTTTTTCCAGCGTTGGCTGTCAGGAGGGGAAGGGGGGGGTTACAAATTGGTTTTTAACTTTTTAACGGGCTAAGGGGGTTGTTTCCTTTTTTATCTTCGATTCCGTGAGGAATTCTGATGTGACCCTCAGCCAAAAGTCGTTCGTATTGCAATTCTACACAACATTTTTTTTTTTTCTGGAATTTTTTGATTTTTTTTTTTAGGGGAGCTGAGGCTGCCCTGAACCCTGCCCGGGGTTCATCCCTGGCCGGGCATCCAGGAATGTACCCGGGCACGAGTTGGGTGCCCGGGCGCCCAGACAAACAGCCCAGACAACCAGTAACCTTGTCTGAACCTAGGTTTAATCCAGAACAAACCGAGTGTAGGGCAATCACATCCACCCTTTTTCCTTTTCTGTATGTCTGGCACACTCCACTCGCCACCAACTCTCTCTCCATACGCTCTCCATCCATCTCCAATCTCTTTAATGACCTGATATTCAGACCACTGCTGAAGACACTGCTTCTGTAAAACCCTAGTTACGCATAATGCTGGTTAAGTAAAACACTGATCAAGTATAACTCTGGTTAAGTATGAAACTGGATTGGCAGAGCACTGGCTTGGTAAAGCCTAAGAGACCAGAGCAAACAGACGAGAAGATAAGCTGCAAATGCATCAGCTCGGTCGGGAAAAAATTACCAGTCTTTCCTTTTGGAGACTTTCGTTCCGTTAGTATGGCTGGCATCGGGATGATGCTGCCAGACGCTGTGCCTCCCCTTGAGACCCGCACTTTACTCCCATCTTCCAAGTACCGGTATCCAACTCTGCAAGGTGCCCTGCAATGCAGATTTCCCCAACACGTAGCCAAATATCACGATCACCCCACCAGCCAAGCATCAGCACAAACGAGCATCCACAAATCCCCCACACTTCAATCCCTTGCGCCAGAGAACGCCGCTTCATCTGCTAGAGGATTCAAAACTAAATCAGTTGAACACTGACCTTTTAAAATTGAAAGAGCGACATGATGAGAATGACCCCCCTTAACTCAGTGGTACGGACCTCAAGGTATTCACCTATCACTCATGAATGCAAACACTACCAAACACAAGCCTCGACTTAAACGTAGATAGAAGTGGAGCGGCAGAAGAGGGGCAGCTGGTACTGTAATTGAC